GAACAGGAAACAACAGCCAATCAAAGGAGCTTTTATCAGAAGCCATCCACTACTTTTTTGCCAAATTCGCATGAGCACGAAAAAATCCAAAAACCCAGGCTGGAACGCATAAAGCGAGCCGGTGCGAACATGCGTTTTTGCACCAAACTTGAAGTAATTAGGTTAACCGCATGAATGGCTTCTTCACATCTACATTGTGCGCTCAATACCGTAAATCACCGTAAGTCTTCCGTAAACGGAAATAAACAATTTCCAGCAGTCGCTCTCTGAAAATGACCCAGCTGTTTAATGAGTGATTTTCCCGCCAAAAACTTAATTGCCTGCACACGAGGACCGCGCGTACCTGGAGATTGAATTTGAAATCTTTAAGCTGTATTTGGAGGGGAATATTCTCTTAAAATTTCAGTCTTCCAGCTTTCTTGGTTCCCGAGTTAGCCGTTTCCCCACCACAAAATTTCACGAAGCCGTACATGAGAAATGTGCATGCCTGGGGACTGAATTTGATAATTTTAAGTTGGGCTGGGAGCATCCTCTGAAAATTTCAGTCTCCCAGCCTTCCTCTTTCCCGTGTTAGCAATCCTTCCTGCCAAAAACTTTCACGAAGCAGTGTTTGAGAACCACGCACGCCTGGTGGCTGGATTTGATAACTTTAAGTTGTGCACGGGCAGGGAGTATTCTCTTAAAATTTCAGCCTTCTGGCTTCCCTAATTCCCAAGTTAGCGCCTGGAACCCTCACGGGGCCGTACGCGGGGGCCACGCACACCTGGGGCTAAAATTGAAACCTTTGAGTTCTACGTAGATGGGGAACGAAACCTCAAAGTTTCAGCTTCCTAGCTTTTCTTGCTCCTGAGTTAGCAATTTTCCTGCCAAAATTTCCACCCTATAGCGTAATATATCAAATAGTGATTAATGGCTTTTGTTAAAAATAGATTAAAGACAACTGCGTTACTATGACGCAGTATCCCTGTCCCTGGTTCAAACTTTAATCGCCCTACCCTCACTGAACTTTCGAACTTTGTCCCCTGGGG